CCACCCTGCCTCCCCAAAACTCTTCCCCCCTCCCCAAGCTGCTGCCGATTGCATGAAACCCCTGTGCAAAATCAGCATCGAGGCGTCTGCCCGTCCTGTGGGGACAGACAGGCAGTGGCGGGGCAGCTTGGTGACCCAGGTTGAGGTCTAAGTGCTATTTGGGGCGCTGTGGCACAGACGAGGGGAACACATGGCCCGTTTCATCCTTAGCGTGGTTTTTCCTCTATTAATCCCTCCCGGTGCCAGGGTAGAGGCTGGAAGCAAGAGCTGGATGAGGGCCGGTGGTCCCCGTGCCCACAGCACTGGTGGCAGGGGGTACCTGCAGCCCCCAGTCTACTGCTCCCAGCACCCCATCCCCTGGCAGGGCACCATCCCAGGGGCACCCACTGAAGTGTCCCCTGGGAGAGGGGTGCACAGCACCCACCTCAGTCCCCCATGGTGCCTCAGGGCAGTGAGGAATGGGTTAAGGACCCGCTAGCCAGGGCCATTGTTTCAGACACAATGGAAAGGAAGAGGATGGGGAGACGGAATGAGGAGGAGGGGGGTGGGGGGGGGGGGGGGGGGCAGCAAAATTCCTCCAGCTCCCACCGGACAGATGGAATGGACAGAGCTGGACAAACAGACATGATGGAGGGCGAGGATGGTTTAACCCTTCCAGGCACTGTGTGGGGATGCCCTGGGGCAGCCGAGGGGGTGTTTAAGGCACATAGTGCAGCACCCGCTGTGGGACAGGCACTGGAGTCCAGGACAAGGTGGAGGGACCCCTGCAGGCACAGAAAGACCCAGGGGATGGGTAGCAGGATCTGTCCACCTGGTCCTGCTGGGCCACAGGGTGCTGGGTGGCTGCAGAGCCCAGGGCAGCTCTGTGGCATGACCCCCCCCACCAGCACCTGGACTGGCACTCCCTCCCCTGCTCAGTAAACTGGAAAAATAAATAAAAGGCAGGGGCTGGAAAGACGGACAGACGCAGGGAGAGCCCCCGAGGGGCCAGATCCGCTTTGGCAGCAAGCCGGGGCCACAGCCAGGGTTCCAGGGGAGGCTGGGCAGGGGGCTAGCAGCCCTTGGGGGCCTGGCCGAGGCTCTCGCGCAGGCAGCGGAGCTGCTCCTGGCCCAGCTTGATCTTCTCCTCCAGCTCCCGCTGCTCAGTGATGAGGGCTGACTTCATCTTGACGAAGTGCTGGTAGTCCTGGAGGTGCTCGGCAGGCAGGTACCGCGCCACCATGGCACCCACTGCCTCCTCCCGCCGCCCCACGTGCTCCTTCAGCTCCTTGGCGTCCTCCAGCTGTGCCGCCAGCAGCCGCTGCTTCTCCCGCAGGGCCACCTGCGGGTGAGATGGGTGGCATTGGTGAAGGGTCCTGCACCCCGATGCCCTATGGGTACCCCCCTGCCTCATGCCCACCTTGTCCTCGGCGGGGGCGTGCGGCCCCAGGCTGCCCAGGGCGGTCTCCACCCGGGCCAGGCGCCCCGAGAGGGAGAGCAGGAGGTTGACCACCTTGTCCAGGTCGCCCACGAAGAGGCGATACTTGTCGAACTCCCCTGGGGTGCAGAGGGCTTGCAGGCGGGCAGCCACATCCTCGCCCAGCGCCCCATTGGCGCTGATGTCCTCCTGCAGCCCCCGCTGTGCCTCCCGCAGCACTGCTAGCTTGCGGCTCAGGCTCTCGATCAGCTGCAGCTGCCGGTGGGAAGGGGTCAGGGGCGACTGGGGCCACCCCCCATTGGGACTGGGGGACTGACACACGGGTCAGGTGTGCCACACTGCACTGGGCCCCACAGACCACGATCATCTGGTGATGCCCCTGGTTCCCATGAGCTACCAACAATGCCCCCAGTCCCTGCGAGCATCTGGCAATGTCTCAGACCCCGTGAGCATATGGCAATGCCCCCAGTTCCTGTGAGCACCCAGTGATGACCCCAGTACCCGCAAGCACCCAGCGATGTCCCCGTCCCTGTCAGCATCCAGCAATGTCCCAGTCCCTGTAACCACTGAGCAATGCCCCTGGTCCTTGTGAGCATCTGGCAATGCCCCCGGTTCCTATGAGCATCTGGTGATGCCCCTGGTCCCCATTAGCATCCGGTGATATTCCCAGGCCCTGCAAGCACCCGACAATGCCCCTGGTCCTCGCAGGCATCTGGCAATGTCCCAGCCCCTGTGAGCATCCAGCAATGCCCCTAGTTCCCGCGAGCAACCAATGATGCCCTGGTCCCCACGAGCATCTGGCAATGCCCCCAGCTCCCACAAGCACCTGGTGATGGCAGTGGGGAACCCCGAGGACATCGTCCCCAGCAGTGCCCGCTTTACCTTCTCCACCAGCTCGCGGTCTGCCTCCTCCTCCTCATCCTCCGAGCTTCCTGCCTGCTGCCACACCATAATATGCCGGGTAGGAGGCGGAGATGGCAGTGCTCCCGGGGGGCGGCGAGATGGGCTCGAAGCCCTGCCTGTGGGGACAGGGGCTCAGCGCCGGGGGCGGCGGGGGGCAGCCTGTCCTCCGCCCAGTGCCTGGCGCCG